TAACAAGGTTAGAGGTGCAGTTGTACAAAACCTGACCTTTGTACGTCTGAGCTTATAATAATATAGTGTTCTATGATCAAAACATGGAGTCGGTCCTGTACTTATAATTGCTTTAAACTAGCAAGAAGGATATTTATTCATCATATGAACTTATTTAAAATATGAATGTTATTTTATTGAAGTATCTTAAATCCTCAGCTTTTTCCCCCAGATTTATTTCATATAATGTAGCTATTACTAAACACTTCTACTATAATTCATACAGGCGAAATGTTAACTGTATTAAAAGAACCCTATTATTCCTTTGAGTTGTATTTATTTGAGAAACAATATTTTTATATATTTATTATTATTTTAAGTGCTATGAAAAATATATAAAACAACACTGACTGCTAATATTAATTAATTTAATATTATGACCAAGCTCAAAAAAATGTTGTTGTAAAATAATATTGGGGATATTTTCACCTATTATAATAACAACAGAAATTAAGTCTGATAAGATGGATTTAGAATTAAACTTGACAGAGCTCCAAACTCAAACTACACAGCAGTAACAAATGCACTCAAACCATCATGCAGCAACAATCAAAACAATGAAACACCAGGACCTGTTTTATATATTTTTTTTATTTTTCTGCATAAAATGCACAGAATGTGACCGTTGATTTGCTTCACATGGGCTTTGCAGGAGGTCTGGGTGCAGCACCCTGCAGGAAAAAAAAACAGACAAAAGAAAATGCTGAGATGCAAATAAACACCAAGTAACAACAAAATACAACGCATGCACTGTAACCCTACTAATTATTATAGATTAGCCTGCAACAGAATTTCAGTGTACTTACACTAGGCCTGAATCGGGGCGGTGGTGTTCGGTCCTTGCGGGCCTCCCGGGATCTGTTTCGCACCACCTTACTGTGGATGGCACAGCTAACACAGTAATGCAGCTTCACGTACAGCTTGGGCAATATGTACGCTACATAGGAGTGAAAAGGAATAAAAAATGATATGGAACAGTGCACACTAAGTCTTTGACAATGTTTTGGTAGTTAAAGCAGTCACTTACAGTCAAACACACTAGCTTCTGAGATGTCCCTCACAGCGGCGGCTTCCACAATGTTCCTGATGACAAACTTCTTGATGGCCTTGTCCTTGGGAACACAGCGGGCACAGTTGGTGCAGCGGATGGGCTGGACATGACCCCGGCCCTTCTTTGCACGTCCGTTGTTCCTTCTCTTCTTAGTCTGTCATGTAAAAATGGAAATACTTTAATAATTAAGAGTATAGATCATAATTTAAGATCCTACACCTTCTGACCAAACATTTTTCCATTCATTTTCCAGTTGTTCGTGAGTAATTTAATAATTGTCATTTAGTTTTTATACAAATTCTACTCCAGGAGAGCCATTTCTTGCATATGCTAAAATTAAGATTGTTATTACTTTAAATTTCATCAGAAAATTTGATTTTTCCAAAATTTAAAAATGAATTAAATGTTAAAAATACAATTTTAGCTCTGTATGCAGTTCGCATAGTAATGGAAGTTATAGAAATAAGGAAATCACAACTGTAAAAATTTTAAAAAATGATCAAATTAAAAATCTAAGTGGTTCCCATAATAATGGGAATAATTAACATTTCCAAAAATTATATTTCCAGAATTTCCATTACCATGGGAACAACTTTCAATTTAAATTGTCATTTTACTGTTCTAAATAGTTTTAAAGGATTAATAATAAAAATAATCAGGAAACGACTACTTTAAAATGTCCAAAAATTATACTTCAAGTAGGAATGCACCGATACCGATACCAGTATCGGTATCGGTGCATTCCTACTTGAAGTATAATTTTATACTGGCCCGATACTGGTCTCCTGTACTTGTACTCGTTAAAATGCCCCGATACCAAACGCCGATACCGCACAGCATGTGATAAGCGCCATATTCAAACAAGGAAACACCGACAACAGAACAACAGACAGCAGAAAAGAGTTAAGGATGTCTACTACGAAGTATACAGTATGTATGCAATGAATATAATGTTAAACATTCAGTATTAACGCCTGTATAGATGATGTACGCGAGCTGATAAACAAAGCACGCTGAGTGGATTGAGCACGCAGCGGCGCATATGCGCGAGCTTGTCGAGTGAATATATCTTTCTCACAGACATCACTGGAAAGTTTGTAGTTGTCTTATATGTCAAAAACTAGTAAGTAAAACAATGCACAAGTTACTTAACGGTAGGGAGAGAGAGAGAGTGCGCGCACGCAATTCTGTTGTGTGATCTTTGAAGTTCACTCACTTAGCACACGCATCATTTAGATTAAAACTTAATCGTAAAAATAAGACCATTTATAGGGGCATTCACTATAAACATCATCTATTTTCAACCTTAGGCATACACGACTTGTGAAACTAGCAGCCTGTGTGAAATGCGTTAGGTTGTACTACTGTCCTCTCATTCTGCATCAGTACAAATACGTGCACGCGTTGCGCGTGTTTTGCTTGCTTGAGCGTTTCTGCATTATATGAGTGGCTTTGGAAAATAAATCGCAGCACGTTTCAGATGAAAAAACGCGACTTCTATTTCTGAAAATATCACAGTTAGGAGATTTATAACGAGTGGTTCCCTGCATTATTACAGCAAAGCGCGTGATTACAGTACTGAGCCGCTGCAATGGAGCAGCTCTAATGCTATTAAATTAAAGATGATGTACATAGAGCAAAACGTACTCTGTATCGGCAAGTACCAAAAATAAAAGTATCGGTATCTGTACTCTGTATCGGCAAGTACCAAAAATAAAAGTATCGGTATCTGTACTCTGTATCGGCAAGTACCAAAAATAAAAGTATCGGTATCTGTACTCTGTATCGGCAAGTACCAAAAATAAAAGTATCGGTATCGGGCGAGTACTGGAAAAAGTGGTATGGGTGCATGCCTAACTTCAAGGATGGGAACCACTTAAAGACATCATATTACCTTTTTTCTTTTCTTTAGGTAGATTATTTTTGGAAATTTGAAAATGGGATTTTCCTGACATGTCCAGGTGCTCCATTACTATGGGAACCACATACAGATCTTAATATTTCCAAATAAGAGAATAATTTTTTTCTGCACCAATCAAAATAAATGCCAATTTACTAAGATTATCAACATGTCGATCAACTCTTAATTGTATGATAACGTTACTAGAAAGCTGTTAGATGCATCAATCTTCTTCACGTCAGCTCAGTTAACACTCAAGCACTAGGACAGGCTGAGGGTCTTGATATATATACGCTAAATAACGACTATACCACATCCTGCATCGGTACGTTGAATAACCAATGGCGATAATAAGCATTAAAGAGAAGTATTTGACTTCATAAACACAGAGTAGCAGACCCATCCCTGCCGCGTTCTGCAGCACATGCTAGCCATCTTCACAAACGCTTTACTAAAACTAACAACCCTATAGAGTGCCCACATATCTCACAAATACGTTACTAACTAAACTAAGTGAACACACAGTTTTCTTTAGTATATAAAGGAGATTTCATATACTAAAAGATATTCACGAATCAATCGCGAAGGCTAGAGACTCACCATCTTGAATGGGAAGCAGGAAAAAGGACCGGAAAAGGCGAACCGGAAGTGAAATCTCTCTCCGCTACACAACAAAAGTCCATCGAATATATATATATATATATACACACACACACACAAAATCTTTAGCACTGTTAGCTGCACTTCAAATATTACAAACATATGTAAGGTGCTCAAGAATCACTTGATTTAGTAATTCCTGGCTAAATTGTCTTCAGAATAAAAGGCACAACTGAGAAATGATTTCAAATTTATATTATTTTAATTAATGAATACTAAAAATAATAATACATACAATGTATTTAAAAGAGATGCACAGAAAATTACAAAGGTTGTAACCTGAAAGGTTAGGATATAAAATCTTTGAACATGATACATTGAAAAGAATAAAAGGGGGCAAAAGAATCAAATCAGATGCTTGTATCTTAATATTGTAACATTACAAGAAAACTAGTGGATCGGAACATATGCAGACAGATGAAGTGGTTTAGTTGACATATCAGTGATGTCAGTGCCTCAGTAAAATCACACAGGAGAATTTATTGGGGAAAATATAATCTAACAAAATTTCTATCACCTTTCAACATGGTCCATATGGGAAAAAAGAAACAGAAAGGACACACAGATGCATGCACACACACAAACACACACATGGGAACACAAGCAAAACAACTTCCCTCTTACAATTCCAAACCAAATATCGCTACATAAAAAAAGACTGGCATTGACTCCTGTAGATATCATCAATAAAATCACATATCAATTTGATCTCGGGCTGTATTCGAGAGCTAAACTAAACCTTTTTTTTTTTTAACAATTCCATATACACAATCCATAAACATTCCATGTTCACATCTGTGAGAATAAATGCACCAGATTCGAGCACCACTTGAGTTTGGTCAAGAAAGTTGCCTTATTAAAAAAAATCTGAACCACTGATTTATCATGATTCATCCGATTCATCACATTCATTTATTTATTTATTATTATATATACTGTATAAAACAAGGACCTGCAATCTTCTTTCCACTGAACCCTTAATGAATAGTAAAGTGCTCTTGGCAAAGTTTGCCCTTACGTGCTGATTTGGGTCCGGTCCTCCTAATTTAAATACATAAACCATAAAAACACACATACTAATAACCGATCAGCAGCTAGACGCGAGTTAACCGATGCCAAGAGCAGCACAACCATGCTTTTAAAAACGGATGGTTCATTATATCAACTACAAGAACAAAATAGCTTATTTACTTTAAAGCAAATTTGGGAATTGTCAGAATGAGAGGAATCATGGTGTGCTTTTATTAACTAGTGCAAATCCGACTAAACAGTGTGCTTGCTTTGGTGTTTTCCACAGACAACCAAGCAGCGCCCTCTTAGCACAGAATTAACCAATTGAGATTTTATTAATTTTTTTTTTTTTTTTTTAAAGTCTGACAATTTTGGTTGTCCAGTGTCTATATGTCATCTAGTGACTGTAAAGGTTGCCTGCAAAGCAACTCCTGACAGCTCTCTAAAATACTGGCCCCTTTTATTTATAAAACGGTGAGAAATAAAACCACTCTCCACCAATCAGGGAAGACGAGGAGGTTGCTTTACGTACGACTGGATCACACTCAAAACATGTACATTAAAATGTCAGTATTGAAAGACAATAGCAAATTGTGAGCTACAAAAGGATTGCGCAAAAATAGAGGGAGGTTTTCGGCTCCTGAGCTGCAAAAATTTGCTCATTTGCGGTTTCTAAACCCCGTTTCCCACAACAATCTGGTTGGATCCTGAGGGTCAGGTAAACAGGAGGTTGGTAAATGCGGCAACAGTTCTGCAGCATCACTTGGGCTCGGCTCGATACCATTTTGCGCCATTGCAGCTTTAAAAAATCTGAATATCAGGTCTCCCTGAGTTAGTAGCACTTCACTGTGTCAGTCTGCTTATGTCTTCGTAGTCCTTTTTGTTTTAAGAAATCCACAAGAAAATTAAATGGAGAAAAAAAAGAAGTCTTACAAATGTACAGTTAGCTTTGGAGGGGCAGCTGGTAGCATCTGAACCGTCTGATGAGGAGAATCGACACAATCCGCTGTTGAGATGCGTCTTGTCTCCAAATACTTTCTGCTGCCGCAAAGGTGCAAATAAAATCTTGCACCATTCAGAGAGGTGAGATGGTTGTTCTGTGTTTGAAGGTGTGAGTGTGTGTGTTTGGGTGGTTAAAGTGAGGCTGTGTAAGTGAGAGGCTGAGTGAGCAGTCCTCATGTGTAAAAAGTATTGTTTTGCATTCATTTTTAATTGCTTGACAACACAATCTCACAATTTTATCATCTAAATGGTGAAAACCACTGTGGAAAATTATTTTGCAAGGCTGTATTAGTCGTACTGCCATAAATAAGCATACATTTGCATATTTTAAGGATCCAATTTTAGATTTAGCTACATATCAGTAGAAACGTTTTATAAATGAGGCCTGTTTTGTGTATAAATGCATAATATATGCATGCACTGTCAAATATGGAGCGTATTAGGAGAGGACAAGGATACACTGTGTTTGAAGGTTTGGTCAGTAGTTCCTATTTGTAAACACTTGTCTGTGAATCCGTTTAGTGTTGTTCCTGCTGGTGCTTGTTCATGTGTGCGGGTAGTACATGGTGCTAAATTAGCGCTGATGTGTCCATGACATTTCTGTTGGGATCCATTGTGGAGAAGAACTGCACGTCCCTGTCCTTGTCCATCCTCAGCTCAGACAGAGCCTCTTCCAGCTCATCTGAGTAAGCGCTGCCTGGGTCCTTGAAGTACGCTGAAATAAGAGCACAGACATAAGTGATCAGAACAGCAGTGACACTTACACTAAATACATATGAAGAGTTCATTTGCAAAAACCGATAACCCCATTTTTTTTTTTTTTTTCAGAAATCAGGTTTTTTTTTTATTGCTCATTCCAAGTAATATCAATCAAACTGCAGTTGGGTTGTTTTGATTATGTAATAATAATAACTTAAATACAAAACAAAATTAAAACAAAATTAAAGTTCATTGAAAGTATGTTTTTGAAAAAAAAAACGTTTCAGCTTTTATTTTCCTTTTTTGCCCTGAAGAAGATATCACAGGTTCACCAAGTTGGTCGAAATTATCCATCCTCGATCACTTTTAGTCAGCTTTGACGAAACTCCTCTCAGCTAGCACGTCTTTTCAAAGTGAAAGTAGCCTTGTCACCTGACCTGAATACAGCGCGCTGATTCGCTAAAATGGACTTATCGGCATCTGTTCAAAAACAACAAGGGCGCGTGTCGGCTTCTGCAGTAAAACGTGAACTCGCAATGCCTTTTAAGTGGACAAAACCAGCTTTTTTGACAAAACGTGTTTAGGGTTAAGATCGCGCTATATGTGGAGAATAATGCACGGCAATCAGCTAATTTTTTTTTAAAAGTGCTGTTTATCGGTTTTTGCAAATGAACTCTTCATATTTAGAAAAGTAATTTATTTTTTGTGCTACTAACAGTGACAGTTTATGTTTAAAGTTAAGTTAAATGGTCGCTAGCCTACAAAAAAATTCAAATAAACTTAAAATAAAGTTAAAAAAATTATTATATAAACAATATTAAATAAAATACAAGAAAAAAACCTAAAAACTGAACTAAAAAGAAAACAACGTAAAACTAAAAAAAAATTAAATAGAAGAAACAACAATAAAAACAAAACTAAATAAGATAAATAAAACTAAACTAAATAAAATAAACAATATGAAATATCTAAACAATAAAAAACAAAACACACACACACACAGAAAATAGCCAATGGCCTTTACTTGACAGCTTGCACTTTGGACATCATTCTAGAAAGCATTTAGCTGGACAAAAATCACTATGCACTCTGCGCAGGATATTACTCATAAATATTTTTGTCCATTAATTTAATTTAAGCCCTTGGAGGGCCTAATGATGGAGGCACGAGTCTGCGTCAACATCCTGTAATGCATGCATCCTCTAACATGTTTATGTTATGTTTTGTGTTAGTGTGCCTTACGTTTTTCCAACACGCTCTGCCGTAACGCCTTGGCCACCAGCACACGTACGTTGGGTACAGGATCTGATGAGAGGCTGAGCAGACTGGGTAGAAGGTGCAGTGCAAACTGGTCCATGGGCATACAGTCCTCCTCCACAATGGCCTATGTGGAAACAATTAATTAATTAATCACTCTCACACATTGGTAGATATATCACGATAGCTTTAACATTTTTGCTCAGCTAGTGGGCTTTTGAGAATTTTGCATAATGCACTCAATATAACTAAAAACAACAACAACAAAAAAAAAGTTATACATTAAAAAATAAAAAATAAAATAACCAAGAAATGGCCATGAGTTTTGACCTAATTGGTTATTTGCTCACCAGTCTATTACCAGATTATTCTGGTATCATCAATTTCAGAATTATCAATCCCATAATGTCTCGAAAAAACTACTGTACTAGGCTACTCTGTGCAAAATATTTATTGAAACTAACAGCACCAAAAATATAAGATTATGAATGAGAAGTGAAAAAAACTACTGTGCTAAATCAAATAATGTTAAGATGGTGTGACTACTAGGCCTGGGCGATAAAATGGTATCGATATTTATCGACGGTACACCTTCTTCGATAACGATAGAAAAAAAATGTTCGATATAGTGCACGATATAGGCACGTGCTATGAGTGACGCAGACAGCACACACAAACACAAATACATGCTGAATTGAGTGCTGTGCCTGCCTGTGATGAGGAGATTGTGAATAAAGAATGAATTAGTCAAATTTAAAATAAACATTTGCATTTGAATGTTAGGTGTGCGTCAGGGAGTGTCATCATTGGTGCGCGAGATGCGGTGATGTAAGTGACGTACGTTGCTGCATTTTATTGTTTTGTTAGTCTAGCCCACGAGACGTGCCGCTGCTGCGTTATTCATTCAAAATATTAGAGAAATATAGAAGCTCAATGTGGAGAAGATCTTGATTTAGGTTAAAACCGAAACCAAGCCATTCACACAGAACGCATATTTTTAGCGCATTTTTTAGTCGGACAAATATGACTGCTGCACTTGTGTCTCACACAAGAGATGTATAGAAAGCCATGCAATGTTAAAACAGTTTAAACGTTTAGAAAACACGTCACCAATTTTTGGAGGTTTATTCCTTTTCACTGCATCTCCTATGTTTTTAAATGCAATCTGTGTGAATGGCGCTTCGGTTCTTTGGATTAAGCAATGCATAAATACGTGATGCGGTTTTGTTCATAATCGTTTATGCAATTTACGAAATTATATTGATTTTTATGAGTTAATTTAGATGTAATGCACGTTTTTTTAATAGAGTTACTTCCTTGCGTTGACAATTTAAATGCGCTGCATTATTTTGCTCATTGCACCCTCCTGTGGCCTCGGGAGACAAGACAAAAGTTTCCTTAAGACCTATTTAATCTGCATATAAAACTTTAGAAATTAGATATTTGTTGAATTTTTATTTTGTGTTTGATTTGTTAAAACAAAAATATTTGTTGTTTGTCTCAATAAATTGGGTTAATTTAAAAATACAGTGGTTAAATTAAAACATTTTTTTCTATTGCTTTTTGTATTAAAATTTTTTATAAAAAAAGTCAATAATTATCGATACCGAACGATATGAAATTATAATAATTTTAATAATTAATAATTTATGCATTTAGCTGACGCTTTTATCCAAAGCGACTTACAGTGCATTCAGACTATACATTTTTTACCAGTATGTGTATATTATATCATTGATACATTTTTTTAGCTATATCGCCCAGCCCTAGCTACTGTAAAAATCTGATGTAAATATTACCTGGCAAATGAATGCAAATGCCTGACGTCCGACCCATTTGGAACAGTGGCAGAATCTCATAATGAGCTCATTAATGAAATTCAGACCCAGATCATGAGCTTCACAGGCATATAATTTCTGCAGGATCTCCACCACCTACACACATTCACAAGATAAAATGTCAGCACTAAATACAAGTGTGGATGGTAATGGAAACCTGTATTATAAGCTGAGGCTGAAAACAGTCCAGTGGAGTTACTAAAAGCAGAACACAAACGTAAACAATACAGTTAGTGAAAGGCAATGTTGCTGCTATTTTTGACAACAAGCTGAAGGGCACATGATTCACCAGTTTATAGGAGATCCACCGCACTTCAGACACTTTGTCAGAGCAAAGGTTAAGTGCGATCTGTCTGAGGTAGTCATAGACATCGTTGTGGCTGTACAACTCAATGATCAGGATGAGCTGCCTAAATACACAGACAGACAAATGCCACAAGAGTGAGATCACACTTGAGAACTACAAAAGGCGCTTTGTCGATGAAGCATGTAACAAAGTAGCACATACTCAGCTAGCTCATATCGGAATCTCCAATTTCTGCTGTTGTCCGTCACCATGAACTCCTGCAGCTGATACAGATATTCCCGACGCTTATCGGCATGAAGAAGCTACAAAAAAAAGACACAGAAAGATCTGTTAGGGCCAGTGTTGTTGGGGCAATTGTTAACTAAATCTAAATCTATTAAAAATAGTTTTCGGTAATTGAAATAGAGCTGAAATAAAACACAATATAAATATTAGATGAAGAATTAAAACGAAAATGAGATGTTGCCTTGGCAACTAGCTGAAATAAGCTTAAGTTGAAAGTGCTAAAATGACTAAAACTGAAAAATAAAAGATATATATTATTAAAAAAGAAAAACTAATAAAAATGACAAAAGCACAAAATTACTTAAAAAAACAAAAACAAATGAAAAATAAAAGCAAATTCAATATATTAATAAAAACTACTAAACAAATTAGCATATCATAACAAAAATCCCTATTTAAACATATGGTAGAAAAAAAAAGGAATATACAAACTGTCTGAAATTATAATTCTTAAACATTTTTTTTTTCAGTATAAGCAATTCATTTTCAAAGCTCTTGGTATAAAATGCTCGAATATTCTGTCTTCTGAGTTGAGGAAATTTCATTTTCTCACCTTTAAGAAATCATACAGGTGTTTGAGGACTCCTATCCGCACCTCATCGAGGTCTTTGAGGAAGCAGTTAAATATGGGCACCAGGTCAGCTGCAGTCAGCTGATCCCCCAGAATCACTGCCAACTCGTGGATAGAGAATGCCAGCGTCCGCCGCACCTTCCACTGGAACACATTCAATAGTATTTCATTTGACAACTACTGAAGCTACTGTGTCTATTCCTCTCCTTTTTTTTATATTTACAAAATAAAGACAAACAATAATAATCTATAATATTATGGTATGGAGAAAATAAGGTTTAATTAATAATATTAAAACACACACACATACATACATATATATATATACATATATACTGTATAAACACACACACACACATGTATATATGTGTGTATATACCATCAGCAATACAGATTAAGAGGAAGTTTTACCTGTACGTCTGTAGCAAGGGTCTCATATGTGTCTTTGAGGCAGTGCCAGTTCTGTCTGCCCAGCGTTAGGGCGACACCTGGCAAGCTGAATGCACAGTGTTTAGCGATCTCAGTGTCTACGGTCTGAGCTCGAGCGGGGTCTGTCATGGACAGATACTGATCCAGCAGCTGCTGTGGAATTACATTCTGAGACAACAAAGAATGACTGTTAGGGAACTAGTCTGATTAAGCAGACTTAGTCTGTTCATTTGTAAAAAGGAGATTATTTATACATTTGATACGCTTAAGTCATGAATACTGTGGAAATCTAGTTGAAAGCTAGTAGATTTTTATTTGTTAAAACATGTGAGAATTCTTTTTTTTTTGATATAAGATTTTTTTTAAGCAACATAAGTTGCTTGTATTTTACATAAATTACCTGTACTTTAGATTTCTCCTCATCACATGTTTTAGCTGTGTCTGAATCTTTGTCCTCTTCCACATTTTCTATTAGGTCTGACTCCTGTGTGCACACAAATGCATGTATAATGAACTCTCTACTGAAGAGTTACTGTGGCAGTACTTCCTTCGAATGACATTTGCATAAACAGATTTACATAAAAATGCAGATGGGGAGTTGCCATGACATGTCAAACAATTGCAGCAGCGTAAAAAAAAACATTTAAAACAACATTATTGTTGTTATGACCTCATATTAATTGACACACTACATCGAATATTGGTATTTTTGCACAATAATATAGATTATTCACTTGGGGGCTTTTCTCAGCAAATATTGCTATGCAATTAATTTGATTAAATATCTATTGATAATAATAATAATAATAATAATAATAAAACATTATATTAATACCAATGAAATATAAACTATAATCTTAACATAAAAAAGAGATCTAATACATATTTTACATTTAAATTATTATTAAATTGAATGTAATAACACATTTTTTAAAATCTAAAATATGTTATAAAATATTTATAATATTATAATAAATAATTTTATTATTATTATTAGGGCTATGAAAAGAAAATATTTTAATCAATTTAATTACATGTACTGACAGTAATTAATATTAATAATAATAATATAAATATTTAACATTTAAAGTATTATAACCTTAATTAAATTTCAAATTTCAAACATTAAAAAAAAAAAAGTAAGAATTTCTTTTAAATGCTATAATTGTTCAATTAATTTTTCCTCCGAGACAAAAAACATTCTTTGACATTTAGTAACTACAAAGTCGTCCTCTCACCTCACTGCTGTGTTCAGAGTCGTCTACCAGCACTGGTGAACTGGAGGGTGAGTCTGAGATCTGTGCGTCCGTCAGTGAGAGTTCACTCATGGCACTGAGCTCATCAGATGTCGGGGAGCCTGTGGAACCATTACTCTCTGACACAGACTCATCTGCATCTTCTCTCTGACTCTCTAGTTGGGCAGCTTTCAGCGCAGCGGACAACACCTTCACTTGAGCTGCGAGTGGAAAGCACACAGGAAAATGAAGAACTATGTCCATATGTGGAAAAGGGCAAAAGAAGTATGCGCTCTTTTTGCAAATCACCTTGCACATCAGGATCATCCAGGTGGGGCTGAAGACAGTCCAAAACCTTCTGGATCTGGGAGCTGGTGGCTGGGCCTTGTGCATCTAAACTTGGCACGTCTTCCTTCCCCTCACCTTCTGTGTCCCTCATGGTCTCATCTTGTTTCTCTATCACCTCATCTCTTTCCTCTTCTTGTAGTAGCTGCAGGTCTTGGGTGATGTCAGGTAGTGGGGATCTCCAGAAGTTGAAGGAGTTGAACACTGTGCAGTCGTCCATCTGCTGGCGGGACAAAGGGGCTGAGTGTTTAGGTTGGCCCAGGCTGATGCCATCTTCTTTGGGCTGGGTAGAGGAATTGCCTTCTGGATGATGTGATGGTGGGCCCGTCAGATCTGAAGTGGATTGTAGCTGCTCTGAACGGGGCTGAATGAGACTGTCTGGAGAACCATCAATGAAGGAATTGCGGCTGTTACTGGAGTTGCTGGTGGTCACTTTGTGTCTGTGGCTACAAAGACAGAAGAGCTCCATTTAGAATTTATTCATTCATTTTGTTGCGTAAAAGAGTTTCAAAAATGTATAGTTTTAATGTTTTTGAAAGAAGGCTACATTTTGTGATGAAAACTACAGTAAAACGGCAATATTATGAAATATTACCATCTTTATTTCAATATATTTTAAAATGCAATTCATTCCAGTGACGTAAAGCTGAATTTTTAGCATCATTACTCCAGTCTTCAGTGTCACATGATCCTTCAGCAATCATTCTAATATGCTGATTTTCTGTTCAAGAAACATTTCTTATTATTATCAATATTGAAAACAGACGTGCTGCTTAACTTTTTTTTGATGGAAATCTTTTTTGTCAGTATTCTCTTTTGATTAGAAAGTCCAAAACAACAGCATTTATTAAAAAAAATATGATTATAATTCATTCTAATTTTATTTTTTAAATCAATTTAATGCATCCTTGCTGAATAAAAGCATAAATGTCTATTTAAAAAAGCCTAATTATACAAGGCTTCCAGTAAAAATCGATAACCGACTACAACAACCAGTCGATCACAAACAGTAACAGAAACCATGCGCACTTACCGCTCTGAGGAGATTTTCGGTATCTCGTGGAGGGTTCCATCCTCACAGAAATTCAGTCCTGTGATTGAAGGGTTGGCAAACGTGGAGATAAAACGACCTAGAGACTGGAACGCAGCCTGGCGTACCTGAAAAGGAAAAATTATAGAAGAATATAAGCAGATGTTCCCGCCCCTTTAAAAAAATGTATAGAAAATTCCTAAAACAGGTGGAAAAACAAAGTCAGAAATATCACTGATCCAAAATCCTACTCCACATCCGCATACTAAACATCATATAACCACATTCACTTTCAGTGAAGACAGAAATTACATGCTGAGTCACGGCATGTTACCACACAGTGTTAGTGTGTGTGTGTGTGTGTGTTACTTTGCTCTTACCCAACGTGACTGATCACTAATGAGGTTGATGAACAAGGGGGACAATTTAGTACGCCGCACCTCCGGAGAAGTGCAGTTTGAAACAACCATGAAGCACTCGGCACAGGCTTTCCGAATACCCCACAGACTGTCTGAGCACAGGTCGAAAAACTTTGGCATCTGAGGTGAGGGCAAAGAGAGAGTGCTGGTTAACACATTTGCATGTCGTGTCAACAAAAATCTGCACAGTCTTGCACTCAGAAATAATTAGATGCATTAATTCTGACCCACTGTGACTGCAGTTTTGTTATAAATACAAGCACAAGAGGAACGCAGAAGGTCTCACCAGAAGTTTCTCTGTGGCTTCCTGGCCAACAATAGAACAGAACTCTCCAAAGTTTGCAGCACAAACCTGACGGTGAGAAAAAAAAGTGTAATAGAAGGTTTAGGCATTTGCTATTAGGTCAAATTGAGTTCTGTTATGTTGTAAACGGAAGCCTGTTGCAACGCAAGCAACATTGCTTCTTGCCAACCCAGCACGAGTTGCAAAAGTAGATTAACATTCTTCACGTCTTCTACACAGAGTAAGCCTGAGCTTTATCACTGCAGTTTTTTGAATGACAAAATAGTCACAAATATGTGCATGTATCAAAACACAACTTCAATGAGTCAAGATTCTTGTTTTTGGAAGCCATTTCTGTCTATTGTGTTCTGATTGTTACTTATTTGTCTCAGGATTCTGATATAATAATGATAATGCATGGACTTGGTATTTCCACACTTTTGTAAAAAGGGAAATACACTACCGTCCAAAAGTTTGGGTCAGCAAGTTAAAATGATTTCTGAAGGATCAGCATATTGGAATGACTTCTGAAGAATCATGTGACACTGAAGACTGCTGAAAATTCAGCTTTGCAATCACAGAATTAAATATATTCATATTATTTCACAATATTATTGCTTTTACTGTATTTTTGATCAAATACATGTAGCTTTCATGAAATTAACAAATGGCATCTGCAAACAAATTATTATTTTTTTTTAAGTAACTTCACTTTTTTGAGCCATTTTTGAATTTACTTTTGGTCACAAGGTTATTGTTAGTGTATGTTTGGCATATGAATTTCCCACACAGACATACACAATAGGGCTGTCAAAATTTTTTTTGAATATTCGTCGAATTTCAAATAAATATCCACATTCGAATGCAAAAACGTTGCATTCGCATTTTAGGTGTGCATTAAGGAGGCAGCCTTATCAGCGGCGCAAGAGATGCAATGACGATATAAGTGTTGTTGCGTTTTAATGCTTTTGTTAACCTATACAGTTGAAGCCACTAGATGCGGCGCTGCTGCGTTGGTCATTCAAAATATTGTGGAAAAAGAGAACACTGAAAACCATTGAAAAACAAAACTGAAACCAAGCCGTTCCCACAGAACACATATTTCACGCATTTTCTAGAGGGACATCTATCACCATTGCACTCGCATCTCACACAAAGGAGCCACATGTTTAGAAAGCCAAATAAAATTAATAAATAAAAAACATATATCAAGAGTTTATGGTGGGATTTTTTCCCCCATCCCAATGCATCTCAATATTTTTAAATGAAAAATGTACTGTGTGATTGGCTTCCCGCCCTTTGTATTAAACTATGCATACATACATGATGCTGTTTTGTTTAAGCAACTTAATTAATTATAATTGGTTTATAAAAATTATTTTAAACATTTTGCACTTTTTTCCCCACAGATATTTTGCTCTATGCGCTCTCTTGTGGCCTCTGGAGAGAAGCCAAAAGCTTTTCTTCACCCGTAACTGAAATTATGCATTTCAAATTTTGATAATATTTAAGAACAAAATTTGAATTTAGTTTTTCAGCCATTTTGACAGCCCTAATACACAACGCAGTTCATCACATCAACTATGAAGATGTTCCACAAAGACTTGACATGTCATAAACCAGTTCTAAGCTCATCCAAGAATTATGAAACGTTTTGAGAGTATCATTACCTTGCGGACTTGAAATAGTCTGACGTCACTGCAGAGTTCACAAAAGCGCAGCAATAAAAGGTGTTCCACCGTGTCTTTAGTCAACATGGTCACCAGCTTACACATGATCTGCAACAAAACATTATTCACCATCAACCCAAAGATCAACACCATCAACCCAACCCCACAAAACAATTAAAACAGTATCATGCAGACAGTAAACAGATATGCATTCCATCATAAATGGAATGAAGTTACGACAGGAAATATAACAAGTTATCTTTTCAGTCCTATGAAAACTCATGGTTTACATATTTTTACCATGAGTATTTTCCACTTCCAGTAATCAGCAGCGCATTCTCTTTAACACAAAGACTCACCGCAACTGCTTCGATCTTGTAGTCATCGTCACTGCTGGGTTCAGTAAGCTCCAGAAGCACAGGGCAGACCCTTCCCTCCATATCTGCCTTACTCATCAGACCCTGTTCAAGTAGCACCAGTAAAGCGGCCTGGCTCGTCTTTCGCACCTACATGAAAAGCACAGGCAAAACCGACTCAATGGGTTGTCTGAACGATTGGCGTTAAGGAAACACTGAATAATAGGTCTTTGAATGAATGAATGAGGCATTTGTATGTATGTATGTGTGCATATATATATATATATATATATATATATATATATATATATATATATATATATAAAATAGGTCTTTAGGATCAATACAACACCTAAAGCTGATCAGATGCATATCTTAAGGATATGTGGACAGCAAACATGAAAGTGACAGATATTTAACAAACCAATCACTACACATTTTCATAGTGTTCACTGAAAAAAAGCCTACAAATTATGCATAATAACAGAAACATTGCTCAAGCGATCTTGTGAAACTTACTGTGCAGTTATTACAAAAGAACTTTTTAGATGGCTATCAAAAGTGATGAATTTAGAGATGCAACTGAAAGTAAGTCAAAGCACAGCATGCAGTTAGCAACCAAAACCTTCTCTGGCAAGTTTTTAAAATTTTCCCCTAAGCAGTTCCAATAAAAATACTTTTCTCTTGTTCTCTCTCTAATTAATAAATAAATGTAAAATAATTAAAATTAAAATGTTAAATATATTTGAAATAATTAAAGAAAATTAAATATAAAAAATAAATACATTTAAAATATTATTACTATATTATAATTTTATAACATTTAAATATTTTTAAAAATATATATTTATTTTGTTATACATTTATTTACTAGTGCTTACTAGTTGGTTATGGCTGACTAGCTGACAACCTTTGACCCATCCCTACTCAAAAAACAATGATATTTGTCATCATTAGTCCAATTAAGAAAAACGATTCCAAGAACAGGCCATTTTTTTTTTAAGTAAAACTCACCTGGTTATTAGGGTCTGTGAGATACCGGACCACAATGGGCACCAGATACCGCGAGAAGGCTTCCGGGAAATTGGGCCGATTTTCATGGAGGAACATGGCAATGTTTGGTACCTGTTCCATCAGCTCTGCTCGCACTGTCGGTTCTGTAACATCACATTACATTCACAATATTACAGACAGTTCAACCATTCTAAACAAGTCAAATACAGGCAAAAGTCATACAAACCTCCATCCTCAGACATCCTGGCAACCGTTTCCATGACGCTGATGAAGTCATTTTCATTATCACTGAACTCCCGGAGCACATCCAGCAATCCACGAGCCACAATTTGCCTGAAAACAAACAGATCAAGAACAACATAAGACACCACAAGACATGAGCTTTTTCAATTTATAAGCACAAAACTTTTTTTTTTTTTTAAAGTGCCTACACAATTTTTCCAGAGTAATGTTTATAATCTTTCCAGGCCAAAATATTAGAAGTCACCCAAGAAACGTTCAATCTAAGCCAAGTTCTTCTACGATGACAAGTTTGGCTCCTTACTAAGTATCTCTGGTCCAATCTCCAATGTCATATCAGGTCAAACTTTTAAAATTATGTTACACCTCTTTGCCATAAAAAAGTTATCCTCATATTTTCTGTATCAAATCTCACTTCTCTTCGAGTGACAGTTACAAGATGGACATACAATCTTATACTACTCCTGAGAAACCACTGAGCATTGCATTTCAGAGAAAAAAAACATCCTGAAATCCATCTCACATTACATGTCTCATAGTTACTTGTTTTATACTGCAGACCACACACTTTACATCTCACCTGTTGAAGACGTTTTCACTGAAAGCATATTTCTCCAGCCGGCCCAGAGGGGTGAGATTATCCTGGCCTGCATCCAGGAATGCTGTTATCCGAATCCCATCACACTCTGAACCATAGTCATCGAATCCAACTGCAAGACAGATTCATATGGACAGTTAATGACCGAGTATAAATCAATGTCGAGTTTGTTAGTACAACCTGGTGGTATCAAATGTGAGATCTTTCAAATTCAAACTAGGAATCTTATTAAAAGAAATTCAGAGTGACACAGAGTATAGGGAATTTGTTTAATGAGAAATTATCTGCTTTACAGCATAAACAGTTAAAGGGATTCCATTATATGCAAGCTGCTTCTGCCAGACACTGACTTCAACTGTATAGTGTAAAAACAATGAGGAAAATCTTAAAAGCATGGGCAGGTCCATATTACATTTTACATTAAAAATAGCATATTTGAGGTCCATTGAGATATTTTTGTTGTGACATTATCTTGACAATTAAGCTCATATTTAAGTAAAATATGAATGGTCCTAAAACAGACTTCATTAAGCAAAAATATCTATCTATCCATACATACATAGGTTTTTTTTTTTTCTCGAGTGAAACATGACCTGGACATGTACTTGAGAGGTTTCATCAGATTCACAAAGTCACAATGCTAGAGAGATATTGATTTGTAAAGTTGCTGAAGAGCTCTGTATACTCACAGTCATCCAAATCATCATGACCATCTTCAAAATACAAAGACAGACCTGGGGAAACAAACCATAAACTTAAGATCAGAGCCCGGCAAGTGTATAGTACAGGGGTGCCCAAACTCGGTCCTGGAGGGCCGGTGTCCTGCAGAGTTTAGCTCCAACTTGCCTCAACACACCTGCCTGGAAGTTTCTAGTATGCCTAGTAAGAGCTCGATTAGCTGCTTCAGGTGTGTTTGATTAGGGTTGGAGCTAAACTCTTAGGGAACCCCTGGTATAGTAGATAATCTGACAGTTTCAAGCCATGCTGCTGTGGCTCACAACATAGCCTCCTAGTAAGATACCTTACTACACAGCATTTATGTTTTTGTCAGTGCAAGTGCTGCTTAGGTAGACTGCTCACTAGGTTTTGACACACAGCCTTGGTATGTATCGTAGTGTTAACTTTTATCTCACTAAAATGTCAACTCAGGTTTGACTACATCAAATAACCCGCGTACTAGGCGAAGATGTCTGCCAAACACCTTTCATATCGTAGTGTGCAACAACATACAAACAGTTCTGAAGTTATGACACATTAGAAATGCATTTTAAAAGGTGACCAGTTAACCAAACGTGCTAACTTAACCGGAATCGACCCCGCTCAGGCTGGCTAACAAACTGACAGTCAAGCTCCTGTAAGCTCAGCTATGTTATCTTCATTATTTACTTAAATGTACTATATAATTTCCATCATAAAGTATTTAATACAACATAAATTGTCCTGTTGGGCCGATGTAGTTCTTTATCACAGTACTTTTATAATATCCCAGTCTGTCCTGCTAGCTTCACAACTCGCAACTAGTGTTAATCCACTTAACATTTCACCAAGCTCATGACCTTTCTTCTATAATACATCAGAAAAATTGAAAAGGCATTGTACGTCATAAAATCAACAATAACAACTGAGCCGATTCTCTTTAAACCGCCTCATAAAGCTTTAAATAAATGTACTAAAGCACGTTAACGTTACCTGCCATCTTGATTAACAGCGGGGCTGTCACTCCACTTCCTCAAAATATTTCCTGCTCTAATTTCAATGCCGGCATCTACATGAATATCAAATACTTAAAAAAAAAAAACAAACTCATCGAAACAAAACACTTTTACGCGTCAAAATATCGCAAATAATCGTATCGCTCAACCGAACGCTCGATGAGAAAAAAATAAGACAATGTCGATCACGTGACTACTCTAGCGACGTCCGATTCGTGAATGAATTGTTCAAAAGGATTGAATCTTTTTAGTGAGTCAGTTGAATCGGTTCACAAAACCGGACTGAATGATTCTTTCACGAATCGGACTGAGATCCGGCCGTTTTCTCGAGCCACTCTTTGAAATTTCGTGTTGTTTAATGTAAATTTAAAAAAAAAATTCAGGATTGTGACTTTTTTTTTTTTAACATATTTTATATATATATATATATATATATATATATATACAGTGTTGGGGGTAACTCATTACAAGTAACGCGAGTTACGTAATCAATTACTTTTTTCAAGTATCTAGAAAGTAACGCATTACTTTTTAATTTACAAGAGAATCCTGTCGCCATGTTGAGAGAAATCAGATGTTACTGTAGTTCTAACATAAATATGAATATGAATTCATTCATCTCACATACTAATAAGCAAAAATTACTCTAGACAAACATTTGTGTGTTTTTTTATTGCTGAAGTGTGTTGAAATTTCTTCTTCTGCATTCTCATGTACGGACGTAAATGTACTTTCCCTTCAGCCTGAGGCTTAATCATATCACTTTTGGTGTGAAAAGGCTTTTATATTTGCCAAAAATATAACTTTTTTATTTTAAAAATAAACAAGCAAGCCCTGTCCAGATTTAAAAAGTAACGCAAAAGTAACGTAACGCATTACTTTCCATAAAAAGTAACTAAGTAACGTAATTAGTTACTTTTTTATGGAGTAACGCAATATTGTAATGCATTACTTTTAAAAGTAACTTTCCCCAACACTGTATATATATATTATATTCACCTCAATAGAGAGCTATTTTGATCTGTAAAGTTGCTGAAGTGTTCTGGAAACTCAGTCATCCATTATCATAAACTGGAATACATGAAATTACAATAACGTACACTATTGATAATAATAAAACATAATAGAAAAGTGCATAAACAGCCGTATGTGCCTTTATATGCCCAATAGGGCTTTATTTTTATGCGTGCTGTATGTTAGGAACCACGAGGTGACGTAATTACTTTGCTCTAACAGTTTTTGAACGGTTCAATGAAACGAACTGTTCGAAAGAACCGACTCGCGGGAATGACTTCCCATAACTAGACTCATCAGCCGGAGTTCAAGATGGCGATCAGCGAGCAGCTAATATCGCAACTAATCGATGATTAATATAACATCTAAATCCTCATACCATAATAAGCTATACGCGTTATGTCAGTATTTCACATCAGGTTCTTATGCCGTCCTAAAGCAGTGGATATCTGACAGTAGTGTGTAGAGAGAGACTGTGTGTGTTGCTTTTTAGCTTACGTCAAATACAAATAGTTGTTGATCAGCTTTATGAAGCTGTTTGGAATGATTGGGAAGTTTTCATTAGTTTGGAGGTCAACATGTCGCTAAGAGAGTTGAAAGTATGCCTTCTTGGGGTAAGATTTCTATTCGCTTTTTATGACTTGACGTGGATTGCAGTTTTGTTGCATATTTAATGTTTATGCTCTGTCATAAGTGTTATTGCATACTATAACTTGCAATAAAGTGTGCCAGTGGTTGTGCAAACTTTGATGGTCTCTTAATCGTTACAGTAATCTTTCTGGGCTGGTGATGTATTTAACCACCGATTCATAAGTGGATGATAAATGTCTAGAGAGTTTGTTCAGTAGATGCATAGGATATATTCACATAAGTCAGTTAGTTTAGTCAAATCAAATTATCTTGCGTAAGGATTTCATAGGGCACAAATCTTCACTATTATCTACATTTACTCATGTATTGATAATAAATCTGTGCTTTTAGCTCTGCAGTCTGTCAACGGGTATTCCTACAGTCTGACATTTTATGCTTAATCTAAAACCTTTTTTCAAATTATATTGATTGTTTTATAATACATGCAGTTTTGACCTTATATTTTAAACTTTTGACAAAACCTTTGTACAAAACACAAATATATAAATTTTATACTAACATCTTGAAGTTTAATAAGACTATTTTACTATATTACCTATGTTCAATTTAATGTTTGGCTTAGTGTTATGTTAGAATCATTATTATACTCTTATACCTTTTGTTCTTTAATATTTTGAATTGTTTTTAGCTTTATCTTTTGTTTTTCATTTAAATGATAAGTTTTGAAATTTTGTTGTATGCATTTGTCATTTTTATTTAATTTCTTTATTTTTAAAATGTGTATAAGTAGTATTTATACAGTTTTAGCTTTTAGTTTTGGATCTGTTTTTAGTTGTTTTAATACTACAATTGATTGCTTCTGTTGTCCTCATTTGTAAGTCGCTTTGGATAAAAGTGTCTGCTAAATGACTAAATAAATAAATAAAATATATATTTGTATATATATATATATATACATGTATAGAGAAAGAGATTTTTTTTTTCATATATAAAAAAAAATATATATATATATATATAATTTGTTTAATAGAGTTGTGTGTTTAGTTATTGATTTTCATCTTGTGTCCTAGGATACAGGGGTTGGAAAGTCAAGTATTGTGTGGAGGTTTGTGGAGGACAGTTTTGATCCCAATATTAATCCCACAATTGGGTAAGCCTATTGGAAAACACACTCACAGTGAGGTCAAGCAGACTGTGATGCAGGTTTTTCTTATTTCTAACGTGCAAGTTTTAAAGGATTGCCACATAGCAAACACAGCAAGCGGTGACATGCAGTGAAATGGAAGCAAGCAAACAAAATTGATACTTAGTGTTTTGAAATTTCCTTAGGATTAGTGTCAGAAAGCACTGTATCAAAAAAAAACTTGATGGATTATTTGTTTTAATAATAATAATAATATTATTAATGATTCAATATCTTAAGAAAACTAAATCTGTAAATCAGCATCTTGAACTAGTTATACTAGCTGCAGTGTTGGTGCTGATAAGTCTGAATGTAATACAGATTCACATTGCTTTGTAAGTGATTTAATATACAGCATTGATTGTATAATACATGTTGCATCACAGTGTGTTAAAGATTTAAACTGTGACCCCTTTTAATTGAGTTACTTAAATGTGAATTCAATTGACACACATTTCAGGGCTCAACAATAAAGACTTTTCTGCTGTTCCAGTCAGGCCAGTCATTCAGATTTGTGCCCAACAAAAGATGATAATATTGCTAAAAAATAATGATAAAAAAAATAATATGTTAAAATAACTAACATTTAAAATTTTTTTTAAATACCTTTGTCTTATATTTTTCATTAAACCTTTGTTTGCAAGAGAAAAGTATTAAAATGAATTCATTAGGTTTGTAAGGTTTTTAATTTGCAATAATAGCTGTAAATTATGCATCTGCTATTCAACAACTATGATCCCATGAACACTTTTGCTAGAAAAAAAACTGGCATATGGTTATTCATATACCAATTCTAACCGATGCTTGCAAGACACAAAATTAATTCTCATAATAATTTACAACTACATTCAATACATAACAGAAAACCTAGTTTTTAAGCTTGCAGGGGCAAAACAACAGGCAATCCTTATTATGGAGCCTGGCAAAACACTTGTAAACCTTGTAAAGACGTCTATAAGTATGTAAGATTGTGGGGGGGAGGCAGTCTGGATTTAAATATGTAAATGTAATAAACAAAGCTGAGAGTCTTACTGGCAAATTTTTATAAACAAGATCAGCAGATGTCTCAGATTACATGCAGATCTATTTGTACTTGTATGCTTAATGTTGTTATTGATCGTGCCAATTTTATTTTCAGAGCATCGTTTATGACGAAGACTGTGCAGTACCAAAATGAGCTTCACAAATTCCTCATCTGGGACACAGCAGGACAAGAAAGGGTAAACAGTAACAATCACTACACACACTGGGGTGACACATACACAAGCTGACAGCCATTAAATACAATGTTTACAGTGTTTCACTTCTGTTTTTGCAGAACTATGTCTTCATAGTTCAGACAGGGGGCAGTACTGCATGCACTTCTCTTGTATGCACCCAAGTATTTGAGGGAGAGAGGGGTTAATGTCATTGGAAGGGGGATGGTCTTCTTCATGTATCTCTATATGCTCTATATCTTTACGCTCTTCTCTCCCAAAACAGTCTACGTTAGGCAAGACAGCTGAAGAGTATGATCTGTGATGTTATGTGAAACTAAATCTAGAATGCCAAGCGGCCCACACAAGCTGCTAGAAAAAAAAATAGTATTATACCAGGTGTTAAGGAATTGCTTCTCTCTTTTTATGGAACTATATTGACAATCTATATTGTATCTAATAGGCCATGTCAGAGATAGCGGTTTCAGAATAGCAATCAAAGCCACAATCTCGCTCTCTCTCTCTCCCTTCCTCCCTCTTAGTGTCTTTCTTCTTTCTTTTCTAACTTCAAGCTCTGTTGTGACTTTGTGAAGAGAAGACAGATTCCTGTACTCCAGTGGGAGTTGTGATCAGGCTTTGCACTGGCTGTCAAGCTCTTGATTAGACGATTATCCGACACAGTGCTTTTTAGAACAGCATTGTGGAAACATGACTCGTTTTGTACTCTTTGCTTTCTGCTTTAGTGATTTTATGGGTGCATTAAATTGATCAAAAGTGACAGAAAAGACTTTACATTGTTGAAAACAATCTAATAAATGCTGTTTATTGAACTTTCTGTTCATCGAAGAATCATGGGAAAACGCAAGGAGCACAACTGTTTTCAACAGTGATAACAATAAGAAATCAATCTTTTTTTTTTGCAGTAAATCAGTATATTAGAATGATTTCTGAAGGATCGTGTGACACTAAAGACAGCTTTGCATCACAGGAATAAATTACATTTCAAAATATATTGAAATAGAAAACAGGTGTTTTAAATTGTAACAATATTTCACAATGTAACCGTTTTTACTGTATTTTTGGTCAAGACGTCTTTTTAAAAAAAACTTTTTTCAAAAACATTCATAAGAAAATAGCCAAAAAGAAAAATTGCATATAGCTTGGAAAGCGATTTCCTTAAAATGGACAAATCGACTTGATTGCAAGAGAAATTTGAAGAGGTAGTCACTGAAGTTGGATGAGAGAAAATGCAAGAGTAGGGTTGGAGAGGGACCACAGTCTGGAATCCTGGGATATGTCTGAGGAAACATCCTGCAATTTTAGACAAAAGCTAAACTGAAGCATTTCCTCTTCCTTATGCAGTGGACTTTGCCAAAAACAGCTATAAATGCGAGAAACCATGTCAGTCAAACTTGATTTATTCATTTTATTGGTGAAAAAGATGGATTAAGCAGAGTTCTGACCTGTTTTCTTAACTTAAATCCAATTTATATTGGATTTATACAGCGTTTTCATAAATTAAATAATAAACATTGCATGGTGTCAAATGAATCTGTAGAATAGATATTAATAAATATTATCTTAAGTGATCTCACTTAGTACTGATGCATTGATCAGCAAAACCAGTTAAGAACTACAGGTTTAGGTTCCAATTGGTTTTGGATATTATTTGTAAATTATGTACGTTTATGCATATTGCTTTATTGACTTTTATTGATGAAAATTAGCAGTTCATAAAACATTCTGTTAATGAGCACAAATATATTACTGTGCACCAATTTGCAGCTTATAACTGTTAATTTTCTCAATAATTTGGCAAAAAAAATGTTCAACTGTGTATTTAATTTTAAGACTATCTCGCACCTAAACTTAAAGGTGGGGTAAGTGATTTCTGGTAGCCAATGTTGATATTTCAAATTACCAAAACAAACACGCCCCTACCCCAAAAGGGTCTCGTCCCTATTTTGATAGCTCCGCCCCACACATACATATGCAACCCAGGCAACAATTAGTTCTGTGAAACAAAGTAAAACCAATGTTACACCGTGTCTACACTGGACGCGAGCGGAGCGGCGCAGCCCGACAAATCCCCGACAGAAAACTGTTGCTGCGTTCTGTTTATGACATTGACACAAATTTCTAATGATTTTCAACGGTCGCTTTAGTGTAGACGGACTTTAGCTGTTGCGGCGCCGGTGTAGACACGGTGTTACTCATCTATCAAGAAGAAACAAAGCAACCTCGGCGTCCGATCGCAGGCCTTCCACTCCTTGAGTTCTTTCCAGCGCTGGAAAGCTGATCCGAAATTTACGCGGGTCCTACTCCTTGTCTTATTGTAAGCCTTCTTTTGTTCCGCAGATGATTTCCTCTTTTGTTTTTTATCCTCCATCTCTATCTTTCTGTCGTCGCTCGGCACGGCTAATGTCCGTCCTGTGCACTGAGCGCTCTCTCCTTCACATCATGAGTAGACACGCCCCTTACTGCTGATTGGCTGCAAGTTTGTTTTGGTACTCGGCCCGACTCAGTTTTCTAAAGCATTTTTGAAAAGATTCATACCCCACCTTTAAGAAAGTATGTAAAAAAAAAAAAAAAAAAAAAACCTGCCTGGGTTTTTTGCCATGTCTACTTTCCCTACCCTGTCTCTCTCTTAATCATTCACTTTCTAATGCACTTTTCCCCTCTTTTAGCTCTTTTTTCAAAGGAATGGCATACTGGATCCAGCTTGTTTTTATTAATCAGAGCCTTTTTTGGTCTATTTTTGATGACCGGGTCAAACAACCCAACTACGCTATTTTATAATGATTAAGCGCTAACTTCTTCAAACACGTCGCGCTCATCTTTCCCCTGATGGCTCCCACATGTGTTGATACGCCTTTCCATACAGTTCCTCAACTCAAGCCTCCTTGGCATGGCCGTCTGAAACACAATTCTCCTTTTGGTTTTAGCAGTGGCTCACGTCTAGGGTTTTTCATCGTGGTTTTCCCTAACCACCGCCTAGAGTTCTGTTTGAATGGAACAAGTTGGAATAACACGCGTTTGTTTGTGTTTCAGTTGTCCATTTAATTCAGCATGAAACTTGGAGACCTCCGCCAAAGCGAACAAATTCTTTCAAAGCTCTGATAATAAGCATACGCAGGTTGAGATCACCCACTCAGCCCCTAAGAAGGGATGTTGGGATGTTATCAGTGATGATTAAGTCTTGTTTTTTTGTTGTTTTTTTTTAAGTACAAGCCATAATTTTATTCTCACATCTGCGTATTATCTGTTTCGCTCTTAGTTTCGTGCCCTGGCTCCCATGTACTACAGGGGCTCTGCTGCGGCTATCATTGTGTATGACATCACTAAAGAGGTACTGAAATATTTCATCATTATTACAACACAAATCTTTCTGCTGGTAAAGCCATTAAAGGGATAGTTCACCCAAAAATGAAAGTTCTGTCATCATCTACTCAACTTCATGTCGCTCAAACTACGCAAGATCTTTTTTTTCCCCCATGGAACACTAAAGGAGTTATGGGTTGAGGTAAGGCTTTCATTGAATAGTGGGTTAAATATCAGTCTGTTCCCCACACAAAGCTATCATATGGCTTTAGAAGACTTGATATATCATGCACAAGTCATATGACTACTTTTATGGTGTTTTTTTGAGCTTGACAGCCCCTAGTTAGCATTCATGTTCAGTAATGGAAAAGAGCAGCGTGGACAGTCTGCTAGGTAACTCCTTTTGTGTTCAACGGACGAAATGTTATCACGCAGGGTTCGAGTAACATGAGGGTCAGTAGATAATGACTTCAAAGTCTTATGATGTAGCAGCATTGCTTGTCTTAAAAATCTCTGTGTTTCACTCAGGAATCATTCCAGACGTTGAAGAACTGGGTGAAGGAGCTTCGCCAGCACGGACCACCCAACATAGTGGTGGCTATCGCTGGCAACAAATGCGATCTCTCCGATGCCAGGTGAATTCCACCATTCCTTGCCACAAAAGACTCCACATCCTGTCCTCTCTATTCAGCTTGAAGGGATGCACCCGCAGTGGCTGTCAACTCAATCTGACGTCGGGAAAAGACCCGCATATTTGCTGTCAACTTGTCTCGACTCATTGAAAACAAGTTCACACACGTACCGTTACCATAACTTGTGATGAAAAAGAAATCCACTCTTAAGCGGTCTGTAATTTATCTTTCCACTTTAAATTGCTTCACTCTTCCCATAGTCCCAATGATGTGTCTTGGTTCACCATTGCTTTCTTTGGCAGTGTTAGTCTGCTGTCAGTGCGGTTGTATTTTACATTTTGAAACCATAAAGACCAAGACATTGAATCTGAGGAATCATGGCTTGCGTCCGCTCCGCAAGTCATTCAGGCAATAAAATATCAGGGAAAATTCTTGCAATTGTTCTGTCTGGCACATAAAGCTTAGATATTCCGTTTTCTGGCACAACTGGTGCTGTTCTCAGTGATCCGCAGCCATCATTTCTTTCACTTTTAAACATTGATTTTATTGTTTCTTTAAAATTTTTTATCCTATTTTAAGAGGTTCGCTCCAGATGTAAAAAATCTGTCATCATGGAAATACAGTTACTGATAACATTACACCAGCTTAGAAATTATCCGCAGCCATCATTTCTTTCACTTTTAAACATTGATTTTATTGTTTCTTTAAATTTTTTTGATCCTATTTTAAGAGGTTCGCTCCAGATGTAAAAAATCTGTCATCATGGAAATACAGTTACTGATAACATTACACCAGCTTAGAAATGGAATACTATTTAAAATATCATCAAGTAAAAGCATAACTTTTTTGTGGGCACAAATCCCATAAACTTGCATGGAGGGACCCAACATATATTTAGGCCTAGTAGACAACCATTCAGAACACCATAGCGATCGCATAGCAACACCCTAGTTACCACAATCTTGCCCTGGCAACTACCCACAACACCCTGGCAAGGTGGCAGGGACTTTTAAAAATCAAAAATCTAGTTAATCGCAATGTTTAGAGAAAACATCACCAGCTGGGCAGTTGATCTAAGAGAGGGCGAAGCGTCAATGGAAAATTAATCTGTTGTCAGTGTGACCGGCCTGATACGTGTAGCACGGGTGCAATCTGATCAGCACTTGTGATCAGGTGACAGGTGCAGAAAGCACCAGCACACAATGGTTTCCCTCCAACATGCTGTTGTGTGCTAGTTATCCACCACTGTCACAAAAACAAATACATGCGTTTTTCAAGGTTCAGCTCACTCAGATAATCTCTCACAAATGTTGGCTATCATATTAAATCGTTGTTGTTCCAAATATCCAGAATAACAATAACACGCCACTCTATTTGAGAGTTTTAAACATTGTTTAATTGTTAATGCATGAATCTGATTACTTATTAGTGCTCTGCTGCTTTGTCCTCTTGTTCTCCAGAGAGGTGTCAGAGAAGGACGCCAAGGACTATGCTGATTCCATTCATGCCATATTTGTTGAAACCAGTGCCAAAAATGCCATTAACATCAATGAGGCCTTTATTCAGATAAGTGAGTAAAATCCTAACTAGTCGTTATGTCATCAATAATGCTGTAGAAATCCAGAATCACTTAATTTAGAGCTTTTGATTTTAAATGTTGTCTTCCTTTGATTGAGCTTCTTAATCAAGCAGGTTTACTTTTAATAAATGCAGTTTATTGCAACACCATCTATTATTAAAATGATAACGAATGCATGATCTGTAATTGATCCTGATGGTGGTGAGAATAGTGCTTCGTTGGATACTTGTTCTCGCCCCTTGGACCCAGGGCAGTGGATGGGTTACAGTGGATACAGATCTTTTACCATGGAGCTTGGCAGTTACACCATTGAGGAACCTGTGGATGCATGACACCGTGCTTGTCACTTTTGTGCTGGCACTGAAACAGCAAATCATTTTTGTATTGCATTTTCATGTATGTTTTTTTTTATTGCTCATTATAATCTATATTTGATTTCCTTTACAGGTCAAAGGGTCCCAGTTTTAGACACGGATGGCGGGTCTGCAGTCAAGGGCTTCAAACTTCGTCGCCAGCCATCAGAGTTGACCAGGGAACGCACTTGCTGTTGACACAATCGTAAACCATTTGGCCAGATCCTCTCCAGCCTCTCGTTTTATTTTCAATTAGTAACCAAGGATAATAGCAGATGAAGAATGTGATGTCATAGGGGAAATTACGTAACTTCCTTTTGGAGCCAAAAAAGAAGTTCAGTTAAAAATGAAATGTATAGTCTGAATCCTGATGCACTTCCTTGAGAAAAGATGAAAATGCCCTCACACAGTCGTTGTACCTTACCTTGCCTGTTCTTCAGCCCCCGTTCAAATGTCTTTGGGGATCCATTTCTGTTCTAGATCACTACCTAGAATCAGACAGCAATGAAAACACCTGCTTAACAGATCAGATACTGTCCTGTCCTGCTCTCTTTCTCTCTCTCGTTCGTTCTCATCTCTGTGCAAAAACCTCTGCAAAACTCTGTGAAGTTTCCTAGTGAAGCCGTTGTCTGTACATTTTAAGATTTTCAGCACTCCAAATGCAAGCAACACAGCGTTCTTGTCTCACTATTTTTGCACATTTTTGATGTATATGATAAAAAAAGAATGGTAAAAATATATAAATGGGTGAATCTCATGAAAGCTGTCATATTCATGTCTCATTTGAGTCAAATCAGGTGAAAAAAATATGAAATTATATTTTGCATAAAGTGAAGGTAAAGTCCATTCTTAGGACTATTAAGATGTTTTTTTTCATTGTGTAACAGTTAAAAATAATTTTTACTATAAAACAGTAATTAATACAGCTGTATTACATTAATCAGAAATACAGTATGTAAAAGTGCTTAATTGTCCTGAAAATAATGTAAAAATAAAAAATATGAATGCTCCTAAAAGTAGACCTCATTATCTCTCCTTTTTTTTCTTGTGATTTTGAGGTTAAAATGACACAGTCATGTTTTTGTGAGATTTACCCAAATACAAAATTACTATTATAAATATTAAGATATGGTTGTTATTTCTGTTGCGCAGGACCAGACATGAGGCTGTGTGCACTTCTGTCTTTCCTATATTTTGTATATGAAAAAATAAAACTAAAGTGGCTAGCAGCCCTATTTTGAGATGAGTTTAAAGTTATATATGAAGAAAAAATGTGTAATATAGTAGGAGTTGCATCTTGTAGTAGCAGTTCAATAGGTCAGTGATGATGATGGCAGCATGTGTGAGTTCAACAAAACCTTCTGCATATTTAATCAGTTCGCAAGTTGAGATAACTAGTAACACAGTATTTGCTCCAATTGGCTACATTCTGGGTTGCCAGATTCTTAGCTACAGATCCAGCCTGTTCTTGGATTAACAAGCAGAATGGACTTTTATGTTTGCTGGTAAATGTCTGACCGTTGTTACCGCTTACAGTGCATAATTGTGGCATTAGAGAAGTTCAGCCCTCACACTTTTGTGATAAAGTTGGCCAGTCTTCTAAAATGTTGACAAGAATAGCAGTTTCAAAGTGTTAGATTTGATAACTTTTCCAACTGTGCACATGTTTTCCATATCGGAAATGTAATGTCAGTGGGAAGGAGCCAAATGCCGGAATTCTGTCCATTGAAGTGGTGCGATTTAGGCTTTTGTCCAGAACTATGTGAAGTGTGCATTATGTCCGAATACTTTCTGAAATTGCATTTTAACCATTTGTGTTAGTTGGCAGATCTCTTCAGAACCCTTGCTGTTCCTTTTTATGACATTTTTTACTGGATTGAGTGATTTTGTGAGGTCTTGCCAAATGCCCTAATTGTCTTATAAACATTTTTCATCTTTCTCATTCTTTCACTAAAAAACATTTGGCCTGCACTTCCAACATGCTTTTTACTATCTGGACAGGGATAAAAAAGGAGCGTATCTGGAAACTAGTCTTGGTTCAGATGTTTAAGAACAAGACATAAAAAAGTAGTTACGCTATACCAAATATTTTGCTTTGAATTGTCCCCAAATGAAGTAATTCTTTTTTTCCCCCTGTCACTCAGTTTTTGAGCCTAAATGTTTTCTGTCAGTTTTGTCGAAGAAATGCACTTAATTTGAGAGAAAAAGTCTTAAGAATTGCCAAAAACACCTTATTTTTGACAATCAGATCATTTAAAAGATTTGGATTAATGTACACACTATTCGTTCAAGACCATGTGGTTAAGTGGCTCTTTTTCTATACATCATGTAGATTTTACATTGAAGTTTATTCAACCAAAATTTAAAATTAATTTTTACAATTTTGTCATATATGTGAATATAGAATAAATATGTTATGGTTTCATAACTGCATACACACAATGGCAAAGTTTTAAGGATAAAATGTGCTTAAAATGTGTTTCATCTAAATGCACATCAGTATAACACGTGACAGCATCTCTGTTATTTTTAGAAGTTAGTATGTGGCTTCTGTAGTTTGTCTTATGATGGTACTTTAAAAATTTGGTATATGTTTTTACATTTTAAAATATGGTTTTGACACATTATATTGGCATTTAGGAGTCATAGAATGTGTTTAGTGAATCAGAATGAATATTATGGGCATGGTCAAAGTCTTGTGTTTCATTTGCCGTCCTTTATCCTGTGATTTTTATATGCAGTGATGCCAATGCGCCATGCTATTTTCAGGAATCCACAAGTGCAATAATAATACTTTTCCCCTCCAACATGCATGCTGTCAGTAATAATAGCAGAGAGATTTATAGACTTATTACAGTAATTGTAGTTAATCCGTGAATTTTAGCACAACAATATTTTCCTTTAGAAGACAGTGCATGTTAAATGGATTACTTGGAACAATACTTAGGGGAAAAATTGCACTTTTTCAAAATTGCCACGTGTGTTTTGCCCTAGTTCAAATAGCTTGACAAATTGCAGTCCTGCGCAGTTACTATTGATATTTACACAGATAAAAACATTCAAATGGATTCTTCCAATGACTCTAATTTATCTTACTGCTAAGTAAAAGTGTCTTTCACTTATTTTCTTTCTGTCATGTCAAACTAATTGGAGAAGGAAACAGCTCATCTAATGTCATGTGTTACCGAAGGGCCTTTACAATGTATGGAAATGCATTACTAGCTTTAAATGTTGTAGAGTAGCTGTCTTTTTTTTGTCTTGTACAAAGCCTGTGATCCACAGTGAGACCAAACGTCTCATTTAGTCCGGTTGAAGTTCTTGACTTCTTAGCCAATTGAAAAGGACTTGCTGAATTGCTTGTCCTCTTGCTAGGGAGCACAGGCTTTGCATTAATGATTTTGAATGGAACTACATGCTGCACTTGAGTCAGACAGTATAATATGCTGTTTGGTGTGACTTGCAATGGTGTTTAGGTTGAAGAACAATGGCAACAGTCTTGGGCTGGCCCTAAGAAAGTTGTGAAATTCTGCTTATGTACTTTACATCCTTGTATATACCACACATTGGATGAATTGTGTAAATTAATTGACATGCAGTCTTTCAGGCAATGTCATACTTTACCACTACTTACCATTGTAATTCAGTATATACAAAAGTAATTTAACCTAATCGTTAAGTGTTTTTTGCCATTTAGCTTTTCTCTTTTATTATTTTGTCATGCAAAGAAGGCTTGAAAATAACATTATATTTGTTAATTTGTGAATGTGCAAAAGGGAAATGTTGAGCTCTTTATTAGTAATAAAAGTATACAAAATCCATTTTTTTTATGTTATGTAATCAACATACACATTGAGGTTTATTGGTTTGTATCTGACCTGGGACAAGTTACTAATTATGCTAGTTAAAAATAAAAAATGTCTGCCTGCAGTTTGGAGTGGTGAAAGTTCCTCCCGAACTGGCTATATATATATAAATATGACACTTGTGGTATGTGTCTCCTTTGGCAGGGGGTCCCTGCTGAACTTTTAATTGTGCTGAGGAAAGTAAAATGACCCTCTAAGAGCTTGTGTTCAACTGCCAAGCTGAGCATAAATTAACTGACCTAATTCAACTTGATGCAACAATGTGATCTAGAAACTTGTCTCAGGATTATGTCATTCATGTTAATTCTTAGATTCCCAGATATTCCATTGGATTACTTCACTGCTTTTGAGGAACAGACTTAGATTTTCAACTTAGTGTGTTATGCATACGACAGCGGTGGTATGCATAAAACACTAAGTTGAAAATCTAACATTATGATTAAGCAAAATCTAAAAACAAATTCTCAAATCTACATGCAAGTCCAAATCCAATGACCAAAATTTTTTTGAGACTTCTCAAAAAAAACTTATTTGAAATATTTCACTATTTCCCAGGATGTCTTTCGAAAAGAGTAGAGGTGTGACCTCGGCATCCTGTCCAAATTTGCCCATTGGCCTCTGATCATCATGACCTCCTAACAATCCCCACATCTACTGATTGGCTTCATCACTCTGTCTCCTCTCCACCAATAAGCTGGTGTGTGGAGGGCATTCTGGCGCACTATGACTGCCGTCGTATCACCCAGGTGGATGCTGCACACTGGTGGTGGATGAGGAGATACCCCCTGACAATGTAAAGCGCTTTGAGTGCCTAGAAAAGCGCTATATAAATGTAATGAATTATTATTATTATAATTCTTATTTTTAGTTACCTTTAAAAAATTTTGCAGTGACATTATTTTTTACAAATATCCTCATTATTATTATTGTGTGTTTTAATTATATGAATATAATTATAATTCTATATTATATACTGTAAGTATATAATATAATAAAAAGAATTTCACAATTTTTTGTTACTTTTTAAACATTTTGCTGTGTCAAATTTTTTTGGGAGGTACAAATATTCCATGTATCTTAAATAAAAGGTTAATCAATGTGAACTAATTATGCAAAAATATATTTTATAGTAGATTTTCTATTCTTATGTTTATTTTATTTTTAATGTCCCTTTTAAAATGTCTAAATAATATTATGTATTATAACTGTTTTTATTATATTATCATTAAAATCAGTTTCAATACCTTTTTAATATATAACCTAATATCATATTAATATAATATAATAAAACAAACGTTTTAATTATAAAACTGCAAAATATAATAATTTTCTTTAGTCGTCATGGTATGTTAATACATTATGCACATATGTGAATATACCACTGCAAAGTTACCATAACATGGTTGAAGACAGAAGAGCCATAAAGACCACCCCCACCCCCACCCTCACCCTCACTCTACACCCTTCTGCTCACATCAGTCGCCACTACTCCGTGCATACTGCAGGGGCAGGGGCAGTGACGTCACGGCCAGCCTCTCTTCCTGCTGCATCACAACAGTCGCTAGTGGATCGGGTAACACTGAGCTATTTCCACTGCCTTGTGGAGTTTTTATTTCAATAAATGTAACAGAAGTCCTCATCGACAGCCTCAACCGTTAAGCCCGTCGCCGTCAGTTCCAGCGGACGCCAGCGCAGCAGTCGACGCGTTTGAAGCGCAGTGGGAGATGGCCAGGCCAGAGCAGGTCCTGCTTCTAGAACCGCAGCACGAACTGAGGTTCCGAGGTGAGCTGAGAGACCGACACGGCCGTGAACTAGAGGCTATAACGCCCGGCACAGAGAGGGAGGGTCGGCCGACGTGTTATTTAGGGGTTAAGGGCAGCAGGAGGCGGTGAGATGGCGTTTCTGACAGGCCTCAGTCCTTGTAATAATAATAATATGGCGCAGCGCCGTAATGGTGAATCGTTTTAGACTCCAGACTCCCATTTGAAAGACATCAATGTCCTTCATGTGACAGAGCAAGTGATAAATCAAGTGCTCACTGGGGGTATCAGAAGACTGACAAGCACGTTAGCGAGAGCTCGCCTGTTTTAGGCCTTGCCATACAGGCTCTGGTGGTGGCTGCTTAATTCGGTTAGTATGAAGCGGTGCAACCGGTGTTGCCAGGTCCGCTTACTATTAGCGACGTTGCGTTACATTTGTTTTTACTCGCTTATAAAATTGGGCTGTTGTGGTTTATTTTGAGGTAGGGCTGCATGATTATGACAAAAATCACAATGGTCGATTATTCCCTTTAAACTGTAATTGCGATTATTAATTACGATTATCGCAATTTACATTGAATGATGTTTATACCAGTTTGAAGAAACCGCATGCCATATTTTTATATGAAAACACTCTAACTAAAACAAACCTGTATTGCTTTCTATAGTAGTAAGCCTCAAATGTCAATGCATTGGCTTCTTCTTTAAATAAATAAATAAAGTACAAATATGCATGGTATTATAATGTTATACAAAAACTAAAATTAAAAGAATGGAAAACCCCTTAAGATAACCTGTAGAAAGAAAAAAACATCTTAAGCACGCAGAATAACATAAGTGGACTTTGAACGATTGGTTGTACAGCCCTATTATGAGGTTATTTCCATAAAACAATGGTGCCATTTTGTATGTTAGGGTTTAGCCTATATACAAAGTGTGTATGTTGTTATTTAATTTGATATTTCTCTGTCATTACATGACATTATTTCTCTGAATGACCGCTGTGAGTGAGCTGTCAAAGTCGATCTTCATTTCTTCTCATGTTTAGACTCGTAAGCGCGAATAATTGGGTCTTGTATTTTGGCTTATTTTGTCAGAATTGGTAGCAAAATCTGGCAACACTGACACCTACCTTGAAGCTATTTCCAGTCTGGAAGTCTCTGGCACCAGTGAGAAAAATTTGACACTTTTACTATTATTTTACTGCCATGGTTCATAATTCCACCTGACATGGATATAATTATGTGGTAAAATAACTTATGTTTCATTCAAACTGGCATTTCATAGACTTTTGAAATGAGAAGGTTTGGGACTTTTAGTTCATACATGTTCATGTGCTATTTAATGTTTACTCGGCTTCAGGGTAAAAGGTATAGGCATCACCAATTACTATTGACAAATGACAACAGACCAATGCTATATTGTTGTATGTTAGCATAGGCCTAATATTTATTAAAGTTGGCAGGTTTTCTAAATGCATATTATTGATCATATTGTGAACAATTCATACATGTATTGTATTTTAACATATTTAAACATGATTTAGCTGTAAGCTCACATTCATCTGCCTCCATTTTAAGTGCAACACCCACATCTCAAAATCCAATCAACATTTAATGAATGAACCAAGTCCCCGCCCTACATTTTTTATTTTTCAATAATCCATTACAGATTGGTCACTAAATCTGTTTCATCTCAACTCACATAAGTATCATTGTGTAATGTGTATGCATTTTTCCTTTTCACTACAGCAATCAATAATTGCTAATATTAACCAGTCCATTAGTCGATAAATCCTCTGTAAACACTTCAGGTTTAACAATGGTTTCAGGCACAGAAGTGAACATGTTTAAACCACCACTTCCACAAGTATCTAAATGGGTATGTAATTAGTTAGGCTGTCCAATTCCACTAGTATTACCCATTCAGACTGGTTTGCAGATAGTTTGTGAACATTTTAGGTGGCATTATCACATTGACAGGATAATCAGCCAATCAGAATGCTGCGGAATTACTGACAATTCTCATGTGATCTTCCCTTGTTGATGCACAATTTAAAGGGATAGTTTACTCAAAAATGAAATTGTCGTCATTTTCTCACCCTCAAGTCATTTCAAAACTGATGTTTTTAATGTGGAATATAAAATAAGATTTTACATTTTTTAAATAATTTAAAGATTTTTAAAATAAGAATTATTTATATATAGACATATCTGTTTATTTTGTCAGTTTTGTTCCCAGCATTCTTCAAAATATCTTCTTTTGTGTTCCACAGAAGAAAGAACGTTATACCGGTTATACAGGTTTGGAAAGATATGATGACAGAATTTACATTTTGGGGTGAATTGTCACTTTAAGGAGCTCAATGAAAGCACATTGAGCTCAACTTTACATTTATATTTATGCATTTGACTGATGCCTTTATCCAAAGTGGCTGGTATTACAATCAGGCTGTACATTTTATTAGTTTATGCATTTGCTGGGAATGGGTAAAAGTGCCTTTGCCTCCCTCTGAAACTTAATATGCTGAACATAAGTATGTTATACACTAGTTGATCTCATATTTCAAAATATTCTCATTTTATTGTTGTACTGTTAATTACATTCTCATCTAGAATTTCTCATCCCTGGGCCATTCCTGTTTTGCTTTATTATGCTTTGAAATCAGTAAAAATGAATATGCTTGACTTGTGTTGTTGTTTAAGGAAGTTTTACTACAGAATGGACACAAAAAACTAATAGGTAATTTTGATATTTATTTTCAAATTGAAGTAATATACTGGCTGATTTCCTGAATCATGCTCTAAATTTAAAGTTTTGTCAAATCAACTTGCAATGTCAATGAATCAGTTTTCCTCCTCTGTAGAGTCTTCCTTTTTTAGTAATTTGTCAGGACACACCTTGTAAATTGTCTTGGGTTAACCAGGGCATTTTGTAAACCAAATGTTAGTATTGTTTATGACGCCATAGTCTTTGGTTCATTGTTTAGGCGTTTCAAAAATGAGAGCAGTTCTACTTGTTCACACCAGCAGCTTGTGAGGTGACATTAGACATGTTCTTGGCTGCAGGAGTTATGTATCAATGCCAGATAACTCTAACTCTCAATGCCATTTGCTCTCCCTAGTGTATTTAGTTTGTAGTCAAAATACTTTTCGCTAACGGTTTAATCTAGTGGTTCTTGTCTAAAGCTTGTCTTATGTTAGAGATGATTTATGAATAAACTCTGAATAGAACAGCTGACACACAGCTTATCAACAGCCAAACCTTTCGTAAGCACTAGGGTTGTGACGGTGAGGAAATTTTCCCACCGGTTAATCGACGTGTGATAACACAGATAATACCGGTATCACCGCGGGGGCGTTCCCTCTTTTCCTCGCTTTCCTTCGCTTTTAAATAGCTTGCAAAAGCGGCATGCACATTTCACTTTCACTTTCAAATAGCGGCAATTCGGCGTAAAGCAATTGTTCGTTTTTAGTTTGTTTAAATTTTCCTCGCTTTCCTTTGCTTTTAAATGGCTTAAAAGCGGCGTGCGCATTTTACTTTCACTTTCGAATTCGCGGCAATTCGGCGTCAATTGCTTGAATGCAACAACAAAATACAACGTCAAACTCACTTTAGCCTATATATAAAACATAGGACTTTTATTAACAAAATGAATAAAAATACACCATGTTATAGGGCAGGCTATGCCTAATATAAAATAACAAATAACTTGCATAAAGTTTAAACAGGTATATGGAAATAAGTAAACATGTATAGCCTATAATATAGTCTATAGGCTAACCAAATAAATAAGAAACGTAGAACGTTTATTAGCAAAATGAGTAAGAAAGCTTGGAGGCACGGCATACACCTTGATGTCAAATAAAATAAATAATTTACACAAAGTTTAAATAAAGTAAAAATCAGCAAACACTGTGGAACCAATTAAATAAGAAACAAATATTTTAAAAAAACGTACAAAATCAACTTAAATAAACGGAAAAAGTCAACAGGCTTTTCAAAATCCAAAATACTGCCGAACAGGCGCTTTTGCATTTCATTTCGAAACGAAATCATCCGCCATCGTCTTGTCTGTCTCACATCACCTCACTCTTCTTGTCAGTCAGCTGGACTCACTCTCCTCACTGGAGAAATGAAATCTGATCTGTGATGCGACTGTCATATGGCACACTGCATTGAGTATCCACGTTCAGTTTTTAATTGTAGTGTCTGTTCTTTTGCTGAACTAAATTATTTTTATTACTATAAAAAATCTAAACGATGGTGGGTGTCGGTGCTGCGTTGGGCAAGTGACGTAACCGGTGTTATATTTTGTTATATCTGTTATATTTATATTTTGTTATATCTATAATTATAAACAGATATTTCTATATATAAATAATTATCTTATTTTATATTCCACATTAAAAACATCAGCACCGTCTATCGCGGCAAGCCTAATAAGCACTGATATTCAAGGCTAATGAGTGTGTAACCATTGCACCTTTTTATTGCTTAGTTTTCCTTTGGTGATCTTGCTTGTTGAGCAATAATGTTCCTGTGTACGATTCCTCTGAAACGACTTTTTCAACTGGTGTCACCTAGGCCATGAGGGCTATTGGTTAATGCTAATATATTTGAAAGTGAGTGCAATGCTGTTTCAAGTGTTGCTCATTTAGTGTGAATGCTTATTTATGTTGATTAAATCAAGTGTATGCTGGGAATAATATAATTTTCTTCCAGGCTTCATTGTGGTTTGACTAAAATTGAGGAAGCTGTGCAGTGGCAGTCGGTTCCACTATCGAACATGGGCAGTTTCAAAATGCTTCTCTAAAATGTCCTGATTTAAAGGGTAGTGCAGAGTTACAGGGAAATTGTTGCCTGATGTTATTGTACAGCTCTTTTGCTCTGACGGGTTTTTAGATCTGCTATATTAATTTTTTTGTTTGTTTGTGTTTCAGACAATGAATGTGATACACTAGAATAATCAAAATACAAAAAGCCTTAGGAAAAGTAAGGTTATATGGGCTGTGCTGCAAC